TATTTAATCGAAATCCTTTCTCTTACACTGGTGGTGTGAAAACCATGTTCACTGATGTTGACTTTTCTTCTATGACTTATTATGAGTTTGTGACCTTCTGCGAACGTTTCATGCATGAAGAGTGTAAAAAGTTGTACTACTGTGAACCAGACAATTCCCTGATGCAAAGGCTTAATCTCATTTCAAATGATGTGGAATATGTTGCTTTTATTTTTTATGATTATGGAACAGATGGTGTAATTTCAGTTTATGTGGATCATATTGGGGTTGGTGTTGATCGGTGGCTTGATAATGAAGATAATGATGGCGATGAACATGAGTCTTGTATTGATGGTGAAAATGAAGATAACATAGATGAACTTAGGAAGGTTACCTTTGAAATCAATAAGGATGTAGTGTATACGAGTAGAACATCAAATGCTCATTTCTTGAGTAAGTTATGTGTTGATTATAAGGAGGATAACTACATTGTAGATGATGACAATGGAGAGAAGTTGAACTTAACATTCAAACTCATTCCATATTTAATGAGCTATTACACTGGAAAAAACAAAAGCCAATTCTAGGGATGCGATATAAGGGTCCACGACAAGTAAAATCAATGTTGTGTAACTATGCTGTAGCTAATGGATATCAATTGTGTTTTGAAAAAATGATAGGACAAGACTTTTGGTGAGGCATGTAGCAAGGGTGCTTGCACATTTAGATTATGGGCTTCTTGGATGAGTGATGAAGAGAGTTTCCAAATCAAGTCACTAAAAGCTGATCATAATTATGCTAGGAACTTCAAGTTTGGATCATTTGTGAAATATGCATGGATTGGAAGTCACTATACCAAAGAGATTGTACAAAGTCAAAAAATAAGTGTAAGGAAGCTTAGGTTGAAGGTAATGGCCAAGTTTGGTATCTAAGTTAGTATGGGGCAATGTAGAAGAGAAAAGAAGTATGCACTGAAACTTGTTGAAGGTAGCCTTGTTGAACATTATGGTAAGCTATGGTCATATGGTCATGAGAGTTTAAGGACTAATCATGGGTTAACTATGAGACTAGTTATGGAGGATGGTCCAGATGGAAAGAAATATTTTAGCAAGTTCTATTGTTGTTTTCAAAGAGTTAAATAAGGTTGGATTGAAGAGTGTAAAGGTCTTGATGGATGTTTTCTTAAAGGTTTTTTGTAAGGGGGAATTGCTTTGTGCTATTGGGAGGGATGCAAAAGATAAGATATATCATATTGCTTGGGTAGTGGTTAATGTGGAGAACAAGCAGAATTGGAAGTGGTTTTTAGAGCTTCTCATTGATGATCTAAACTTGAATTTAGGCAATGATTTTAGTTTAATGTCAGACCAACATAAGGTTAGTATTTTACATAGTATTGCATTTATATTTATTTTACACTATCTGAATTAAACCTTTGTACTACTATAGGGTTCGATAGAGGCTGTTAAAGAGTTGCTTCCATATGTAGAGCATAGACAGTGTACCAGTCATATTTTCCAGAATTTACAGAAGAGATTCATTAGTTTCATATATCATACCTTGTTTTGGAGAGCATCTAAAGCCACAATTGAGCATGCTTTTAAAGTTGTGATGAAAGAAATTGAGACATTGAACCCAGATACCCATCAATATCTCATGGAGAAAGATCCTAAAACATGGTTAAGAGCTTTCTTCAAACTTAAAGGGGTTGTCATGCAGTTGAAAATGGGTTCTCAGAAAGTTTTAATGCTGTAATAGTAGATGCTAGGAAGAAGCCCATAATAACCATGTTTGAAGAATTAGGATTATAGATGATGGATAGAATCTACAACATGAAATTAAAGGGACAACAATGGGGAAATCACATTTGTCCAGAGATAAGGGATAAGGTGAATTTGCTTAAAAATCTCAAAGGCATTATCAGGTACTACCAAGTAGATTAAACCAGTTTGAGGTAAGGGGAGCAACAGATGCATATGAGGTGGACTTAGAAAGGAAAACATATTCATGTAGGTTGTGGCATTTGAATGGATATGGATGTGATCATTTTGTAGCTAGCATATCCTTTCTTAATAGGGATGCAGAAGCCTATGTATACAACATGTTTAGCACAACCACATTTAGGAAGGCATACAATTATAGAATTGCTCCCATGAATAGTAGTGACATGTGGCCAGAGATAAACTATACTCCACCATTGCCTCCTATTATTAGAAGGATGCCTGGTAGGCCAGCTACTAAGAGGAAGAAATCCACTACAGAGAATACAGGAACACACAGGGTTTCTAAAGATGGAAAGAAAATGATATGTAGTATTTGCAAGGAGATAGGTCACAATAAGGCCACTTGTCCACAGAGAAGGCCCCAAAAGTTAAATGTGAAGAAATAGAAGAAACAAAAAGTTTGTGTGAAGCAAAATGCAGGACATTTAAAACCATTTAAAATTTAAATTTATTTACATATGATTTGTTACTAACATAATTATATCATGCCATATAGGGTAGTAAAAGTGAACCACAACAACATGAAGAGGTTGAAATGACACCAATTGAGATGGATACTACTCAAAATGATATGCAAGTTACTCCTACTAATGTTGAATCCAGTAGTGCTGGGGATTTAGTCATTCTATGCAATTTACTCCACCTAGAAGTTATGAATGTGATGAGGGTTTTGTGGGTGAGGAAGCTGATGTGGTTGAGGAAGCTTTTGAAGATGAGGAGACTGAGGAGGTTGATCCTATTATCCAAGTTGATAATGTTAATGTTTAGGAGGTTGATGAGGTTAATCATAATGCCCATGTTGATAATGTTAATGTTTAGGAGGTTGCTCCTATTATCCAGGTTCAGCAGGTAAGGGTTAGACCAATTTTAGAGATTTTGAAGAGGATAAGGAGAAGAAAGTCAAAGAGAATATTGAAGCTGAAATTAGGTAAAGCAATTGGTGGTGTTGATGATCCAGGAAATTCGAAGGGAAAAGCTCTTGTAATTGATTAGTGTTTATTGTAATTTAGATTTAAAGTTTATGTAATAGGATGATGGTAATTTGGATTTAAAGTTTATGTAATTGGATGATGGTAATTTATATTTAAAGTTTATGTAATAGGATGAAGGTAATTTAAATGTTGGTCAGTAATGGATATTTTGGTTATTTAAGTATGCATGAAAGAAAAGGGTATTTTGGTCATTTAAGTATGTATGACAGAAATGGGTATTTTGGTCATTTATTTATGTATGACTGAAAATGGTATGTTGGTCATTTATTTATGTACGACAGAAAAGGGTATGTTGGTCATTTAAGTATGTATCACAGAAAAGGGTAATTTGGTCATTTATTTATGTATGACAGAAAAGGGTATGTTGGTCATTTAAGTATATATCACAGAAAAGGGTAATTTGGTCATTTATTTATGTATGACAGAAAAGGGTATTTTGGTAATTTATTTATGTATGACAAAAATAGGTATGTTGGTCATTTAAGTATGTATCACAGAAAAGGGTAATTTGGTCATTTATGTATGTATAACAGAAAAGGGTATGTTGGTCATTTAAATATGTATCGCAAAAAAGGTAATTTGGTCATTTATTTATGTATGACAGAAAAGGGTATGTTGGTCATTTAAGTATGTATCACAGAAAATGGTAATTTGGTCATTTATTTATGTATGACAGAAAAGCATATTTTGGTTATTTATTTATGTATGACAGAAAACGGTATGTTGGTCATGTATTTATATATGACAGAAAATGGTATGTTGATTATTAAAACAACCACTAACTAGTAACTAAAAATGGTCCCCATACACATAGATGTACTTTTGAATGGACCAATTCCTCATTTGTTCCCAAATTTAAAACATTCACAACAACTAATCTAATTAAATATATTTGTTGGGAATACATACCATGCATATGTTTAATTAACATCAACATCTGATTATACAAAATGCCATACAATTGGGACTTTGATTTTTTTTTTACATTACTTACCATATGCCCTTTCATTAGGGACTTACCACCTTACAACATCAACACGTCAAGGTTGATAACCCCAACTTATAACTAAAAGCAGCTTCAATACATATAAAATTCCAATCATTACTGACTTTCTAGTCTGCCTTTACAAAAAATACAAGGGGTCCCAAAAAACAAAAGCTTACACTAACCAACCTAACTAACTACAATCACCCCCTAACTTGAAAACACATATGGCCAAGCAAGCAAACAACAGGGAAAATATCATCCTGTACCTGCCTTTTGCCTCCTTGCATCATGAACTTCTTTCTCACTCTTTACCACCTTACACGGCTCCTGTGATAGCAGAAACTCCATTTTAACAATCCTTCTCCTCAAATTGTTCATCTTAGACAGTTCTTGTAGTACCAGTCTGCCTGTTCTTCATCTTTCCATTTAAAGAAGCTACATTTCCTCAACCTAGTCTATAATAAGTCAATAAAATTAGGGTTTGATTCACAATCACAAATCAACTACCTTTAATGTACCAACGAAATGGGTTTTATTCATAGTGATCGTCAAGAAGAAAATAAAATTAGGGTTTTTAACAGATGAAACAAAATACAAATACACCATTACCGTCTTTATAGAAAGAAACACATCAACCCATAAAGTACTAACTTATCAAAATCAAGAGAATCGGGACCTACCATACTATTTTGACAATTCCAGAATTGCCTCCCAGGGTTTGTTATCTTCCAACATGTTCATTCTTTAGCTGGAACGACACAATCACAAAGCTTTACTCCTTCTTGCAACTGAACATGAGTGACTTGTAGTTGATTCCTTGACGTCGATGAGCTCGAAGATATTCTTCTTCAGTACGGAAGTAGTCAGGGAAGGGGGAGTCTTTGAGTTTTCAGAGAAGGGTAAGTAAAGATTTAATGAAGGTCCGAATGAGGTTTTGAATTAATAGCCATATATCGACAATTAGACTTCTACAACACATAATCTTCCCACGTAAGCTTATTGGATACATCAGCGTGCCATATAAGCATTGTGACTAGGAAACCTTCTAAAACTTGATAAAATGGTGTAATTAAAATGTCACTTACGAGTTTACTGACCTAATGTACCCCAAAAAACTTTAAGGACCAAATTAGCCAATTGAAGAAAGTTCCATGTGCTATAGTGACATTATCCCTATATTTATTTAATGCATTTTTTAATTAAAAAAATGACATATCCCACCCTATCACTCTATGCGACCCTCCCTTCTCTCTTTCACTCAACCCGACCCTTTCCTTTCTCTTTCACTCTCTCTCCCATATTCTTCTTCTTCTTCTTCTTCACCCTTCACATGCTTTGCTTTGAAGATAGCTTTATTAGCGATGAATTATCCTCCATCATCGGAATCGTCGAAGCTTGGATCTCAAGTTGTTGATGTGTCATCGGTGGTGCTCAACGATTATCAGGAGATTGGAGTACGACATAAAAAGCACACCTTAAGAAACTAGAATCACTCCCAAACGAATCACCATCAATAAAATCAAAATAATCCCTCTCCACATATCTCTCAGCCAAAACACGATTTGCAGCTGAATGACTCACACATCTCTCAACCAGTGAAAGTTGAAAACTTTCCAGTTCTTGAATTTAACAAGGAAGAAATCGGAAACATATATCGGTCTTATGTTGTTCTTGGAGAAATGAATCGGGATTCCTTTTTCAATATTTGGATCGAGAATCCTCTCAGAGAAATCAGATTCATTTAAGACACATTTATTCATTGATTCGATCTCATCGAAGCAAACATAAATCAACCGACAAACCCAGAAACACTTTCGTTTGAGGCAGATTTAACATTCTTTATATTTTGATTTGGATGAATCTGATAAGCATCAATTGATTTGACGGTGAATTTGGCAAAGTACACAGAGATAGAATGGGAAAAGAAGACGTTAGGAAGATAAGGCGAGAGGGATGGCGGACGCTGATGACAGTCGGTGGTGACAGTAGCGAACGATGGTTGCTGATTTTACCTTCCATGTTGAAGGTGTATTTGAATGTTTGTGTGTTTTGGAGAATAAAATCAGAAAAAGTAATGTGTGTATCTGTTAATCAAGATGTTTGTTCTTAACTATAAAGATGTTCTTGGGTGTTAACAATGACAAACTCAAATATGAGAGAGAGAGAGAGAGAGAGAGAGAATGATGGGTTGGGTGGGGGATAATTTTTTCTTTTTTTCTTTATCTTTAATTAAAAAAGGTATTAACTAAGTATATAAAATACAAAAAAGAAAATAAAATGACATAATCGTATTTTTAAGTTTTTTTGGACTAAAATCACGGAAAGGTTTTGGTTTTCGACCTACCATGCAAGTTAAAAACTTTTTGGACCCTATCCAAAGATTTTTGTAAATCACACGGACTAAATTTGCAGTTTTGTCAAAAAAAAAAAAAAAAACCCGAGTACACCATGTTTCACTATTTTTCATCATCTTTCAATAGAGATCCCTATTATGTATAAAAAACTTTTTTTTTTCGAAAAAGAACTCATTTCCTCTTTCTGTTTTTTTCAATATTTAAGTGTATTTTTATAAAACAAAAACCAATTATACAAAAAATCTAAATTTTTTGTCCTCTATCAAAAAATACATAAACGATTAAAAAAAATCGATTAGTTCAGATTCACATTATGAATTTAAACCGTAAATTTTTCAATTTTAACATTCACAATGTGAATCTAACTTACTATTATTTACATTTTGAATTTCTCATATTAACAATGTGAATCTCTACAGAAATTTCGTCTTTTTATTTTTATTTATTAGTTTTTTTAAATCAATATGAATTTATGCATAAAGTGTACATGAAAACACGAATTTAAATACATTTATTAAACTTTTTTTTATAACAAATAGCCCTTGACCTTGGTTCTTTGATTAATAATGGTTATCTACTGAACTCTTCTATATATATATATATATATATATATATATATATATATATATATATATATATATATATATATATCCTACTCCTAATAAAAGTATCCCTTTTGTACATGTGGCTTCTCCTTCTTCTATAACTTTCATTGTAAACTACCCAGTGTGCCCTTCCGTATTAAAACCATTCATCCCTTATGTTCTTGGTCATTCTTTATTGATTGAAATTTCATGATTACAATCCTCAATTGAAGGTATGAACACTGCTAATACTTCTGATCTGCTTCACCCTCTAACCAAATGTTGGGGCCACTCTCTCAAATTTTGTTTACAACCACCATTGATTGTATCACTGACTTGGTTACAGGCAATGGGTTTTTTACATAGCAAACAATCATATGTGTGCATGCAACCCTAACTTGAGGATCTATGTTTTCATTATTAGACATAGAAGAATTGAACATTAAACCTAGAAACCCTAGGAGGCAC